CGGTTCTGGGTCAGCGCACTACAGTAGGGTTTAACGGAGCAAATGTCAAAGTGCAGTCAGCGGCAAAAAGGAGAGTGTGTGAGTCAGAGCCTGCAGTACATGCAGCTGCCACACGTTCTTCAGGCAAGAGAAGGGACAAAGAAAAAATGAAGAAAAAGTGAGACGGGAAAGGGGTGAGAAAAAGAGGCCGTACTGAAAATGTGAAGTAACTAGTGATAACGGGAACACGAGGAAAAAAAGAAGTAATAAATCACAAACTGTAGAAATGTAGTGTCAGGGGAACTCTGTTAATCTGAGAGACGAGTGTTTTTTTGTATTCATTTGTAAACGTTACCTCCTCGGGAGACAGGAACATTTCAGAGATGCCTTTCAGCTGCTCATTCTGCACTGTTCCCAAAAAAACAGTAATATTTTTGTAAATGTATCAAAAACATGTCGTAGAAAAAGAATTACTTATTATTTTTTTTTTCCTATAATTTAAAAAATGCCGTTATAAGACTAAAATGTTGTTGTTGGGTTTTTTTAGGTAAACACTATGTTTTCAAACAACTCCGGTTTCAATCATTTTTTACTTTTTCCCTTGTGTTTACCAGAGGCAGTGTTCTGATTCAGACTGAAGTGGAGACTGCATTTTATGCGGAACACTGGACGTCTCGATGAATATATTCTATACACTGATCTTTACACTGGTCTAAACATGAGTTATACATGTCACATTTAAATCATACACTGGTCTAAACATGAGTTATACATCTTTAATTTGTGTAACTGATCAATAATCCAGTGTATAATGCACTGGGGTTGGGAAAGAAAAGGTACAATGCAATTAATTTGAAGCTAGGACCTGTGTCTGTTTTATAATCAAAATAATATTCCATTTAGTTGCTTCAAAAAACGTATTTCTCATGAAGTAAAACTAATTATAAAAAATCCTTAAACTTCATCCATCATCTTGGAGTGAACTAAGTGATACCTGTGATTGCATGTAGTAAAAAGCGGAGGCACTAGGGTGCGCTAGACTAATTCAGAACTGAGTTTTAAGCCAGGTTTTTCCTCACCTTACGATTCATCAGATCACCAACGTCTACACGCCATCATCGATTGTACCTGATACGTACGGCAGCGTGGAGTTCGGATGACTGATGCGAAACGACCAACAGAACACTGAAAGGTGAAAGAAGGTCGAAGTCACTTTACTGCTCTCCAACACTTTCCTATCACCTTCGCTGCCTGCCCTTTCTCCCTCCAACTGCTTCACTGATGAAAATCACACACAGGGCTCTAAAAAGATCAATCGCTTGTTTTTCCAGGCATAAACCACCAACACTGGTGACACTTCAATGCAGCAGCACAGCCGTGAATTTACAGTTGAAGCCGAGAGGAAAAACCACGGTCTGTGGACTGGTGTTTGATGATAGGACTCAGCTGCTCACACTTCATACTGATCTGAGGTCAGATTATTACTGGCTTTTCTCTCTCCTTCGACAACAGCTCGTCCCCAAGGATGAAGAATTTCTTAGTGCTAATATAATAAAGAGTCCAAATGAATTGTGACGTCGTCGCTGGGGATTAATTGCGTCAAACGCCCCCCCCAGAAGCTATTAACATGACAGAGGAGTAATTACGTGTCGTCCTGTCGGTTTTTGCAAACGCGGCCACTTTTAAATGACAGGAACAATACCTGTGCACGACAGAATTTACAAGTTATACAATATTTATAGTGTTTTCAAACCACAGGCTCGAGCCTCACTGCTGTTCCCACAAGTTTCCTAAAGCGGTCTTTTAGCCCATGTTAATGCCAAGACACTCCATTTCCAACCTGTGTGTACCTGTGATTTATAACTCCGTGCTGTGGTCATCATCTCTGTGTCCTCAGACCAATTCCACCTTCTTTTACCATACCCTGCAGCAGCATTTTGGGGGGGGGGGCTTGCATCCTCTGCGGTGCGGACAGAGGAGATTTATCATTATTACCGCAGCGACAGGTCTATTACCTCCAGAGACTAAGAAAACAAGTGAAGAAACTTTACAAAGCAGCCGTTGTGGGAAAAGTCATTTAGGACTGCAGCGAACCTTTTGTTGTGGTATAATTAATGCATGTTTTGCTCGACATTCTTTTGACGTCTCTTCTCGGCTTTCTTTAAATGATGGTGCGGTCTTTTATTTTTTTCTTCTAATTTGTAGGTGGAACGGGCCTGTGAGAATAGAACCATTTAGATGTTTTCAAATATGAGGAGACTCAAAAATGACAGTTACCCTGCAGTTTAGTGGAAGAATTTTCAATGCGAAACTGCAGCACTAGTGGGAAAAGGTGTGCAAAAAAAGTGAGTGTTTCTTTTTCCTGAATAAATATTTAAGGTACCCTCGAGCAAGTCATTTATTCAACAGTTTTTCCCCCAGAAGAAATGTCCAAGATGGACGATCGGGGGCAAGACCAGATGTGCAGGTCGTGTATTTTCATTAAATTAAAAAGAACAATAAGGCAACTGGGGGTTAGATACAGTGGTTGGAAAGTACAGAGGACCAGATAGAAACCGGCTGCCGCATGTTTATAGTCTTTTCACATTCCAAAAGCCGTATCTTGTTGAAGAACACCCAGGATATATAGTCAACAGCAGGCCCCTCCTCCATTTTTCAATTTCCTTCTCTCTATCTTCTCTTCATCACGTCCTTATCTACGGGGATGGCTGTTGAAGCAGTAAGTGTTGTGTACACCATGTACCTCCCAGATATGTTCCATTCTCATCAATTATCAGATAACAAATCACCGTTATTCCAGCAGGATGCTTTTGTTTTGTTTAAATTTGTCAGAGATTAAACATTTTCCGATGTCCTGTGGATGATGTTGTTGTTGTGATATTTGTCCATAAAAGACACGGAATAAAAGTAGATTTAAAGACGTTAGCAACTATATGACAGTAGAGAGAAGGAGTTCATATATATTTTCTGAGGGATAACAAGCCTCTTCATGTGCTATACAATATATAAAGACTTTATTTGGTCTTTTTTTAAAGGCAAAACTTTAATGGCAAAAGTTTTTCAAAGTTTAAAGAGCCACTGAAGCGGTGGTCATTGGTTTCTAATCTAACAGAATCAGCAGGACGATCTCTGACTGGGTTACTGTCAAAATAATATCAATCTTTGCTTGAAATGATCGGCCGACACCACGCTGCTCCATCAGGTGATGGGCGGCTCAAACAAAAATGGAAGTCAATGCACTGCTGGGATTGGGTGGAAGGGGCTCGTCTGTGACGGGGAACAAACACCTCGCGGCTAAAACGGCAGCCCGTGGGAATCATCCATGTGTGAGAACCTGAGTAAACAGGAGGATCTCACCGTGCTCTGTCCTATCTTCAAGAGGGCCAGGGAAGCATGTCACACACTGGCAGGGGAGATAAGTGTTAAAGATGGGGGAGAGAAGTGTGACAGTAGATAAAACTGAGCAGCGAGGGAAAGGGAAAAGGATGGAGGGAAGGATAAAGTGACGGAGCAAAGACTTTGACAGAGGACAGTTACTGTTTCCTAATTTTAGCTTCACTCTCATCCTTTATCACACTCAGCTTCGCAAATGTCGCCTGGTTTAAAATGTTGAATTTATTATAAGGGGTTTGGCAGTAATTTGTCCTTCAGTTTCTGACAGACTGATGGGAGCCCTGCTCTGTTTTCTCATTTAGATCTTCAGTTATGTGTATGTACATATATATGTGTGTATGTATATACAGTTTATATGTATATACACATATGTGTAAATACACATATGTACATATATTTAAATATAGTATATACATACTTATACATGCCACGCTTTAGGGTTAGCTTTTAGATATGTACATTATTATTTAAACTGAATTCTAAAAATGTCCTTTTTAAAGATTTTTCAAAAACTTTAAATACAAATGTGTTCATATTTTGAGTTGACTTGGTGACCTTATATTTACACTCTAGTTAAATGTCACTCTCCTGCAAACACTTGTACTGTCTATATCTGTAAAAATACAATTTTAATATATATACTTTTATTTCAGTTTACACCAAAAGAACAACTGTAAATAAATTCTAACTAAACCATACATGAATGTATGTTTCACTCAGCTACAATTTATTTTGTCTTATTTTATCGACACATCTCACTGTATTGGTTTAGCTAATTATCATTAACAGCAGAATTTAAACCAGATCACACCATCCTAATTCAGCCAGACTAGCATCGTTGCTCGTTCAAGACCTAAAGTGAAAGCCAACTGTGCTCATCCATACAGTACTGTGTACAGTATACTGTGCTGTATATGCAGACACAGGCAGAAAAACAAACTCTAGTCTGACCCAAACGTCTGGTAACATAAACAACAAGCACGACTGTCGTGTAACTATATCTGCCGTTTATCTCCGCAGTCCAGTTGACGAAGGATCCAAAAAGTCATTCTTTCCAAATCAACAAATCAACAGGAAATGTACAGCAGCTGTTAGTTGATAAGTGTGTCGGAGACGTTCTTCTCAGACAAACAGAATTTGACACAGCTATTTGATGAATTTACTCTTTGTGGTTCTTGTCACAGCCTTGCCAACTCTGCATTCACAATGGCAGCGGGCAGTGCCTCCCACCCCCCGGGGGTAGGTCCGTACATCCTTATAAATGACATCAGTCGTGAGCAGTGTCAGCAGTATTTACTGTGACTGGTGGAGAGTGAGCTAATGCTCATTCTGCTGCTGAAAAAAGAAATGCTGGGGAGTTTAATGCTGTGGTTCCTAATCTTTTAGACAGGCTTTTTTTTATTGGTCAGAAGATAAATTGGGGAAGTCATCAGATAAGTAATGGGGCACCAGCAAGAGACAAAAAGAAAAGTTTGGTTAGGCAGACTTGTGTTTTAAACGCAGTCAGCATCTGAAGAGGTCAGATCCATTTGTCTTTGAATGTTTTAATAAATACTGGAAGGTTCGAGTCTGATATTGTAAAGGTTTTTTTGTGGATACATGTATCCCGTATTGTAAAGGTTTTTTTGTGGATACATCTGTCACTTGGTCGACAAACCGCTGATACATTTAGCCAGTGTTAGCTTTTCCTTACATTTGAGATTACCACAGGGGTTTTACACAATGTGATGATTTTTTAAAAATGTAACTATTCTTATGCCAATTGTTATTCCCGACATAATCCTAAACTTCAGATGTTACCTGGATGGATGGAATTGTTAAGTTATTATCAAAAATAATACAAAAAATATTGTTAATAATTGAGTCCCTTAATAGTTCAATGGGGAAGTTTACAATGTGACTTTTGAAGTTTCAAGTTCTCTTTTCACAGGGCAGCACATCACCGTGCTGCCTTTTAACTGCTCACAACTGCATGGTTCTCACGCCATCAGTGGGGAAATCTGTTCAGATAGCCTCTCAAATCATATTTTCTTTAGGATTTGTGGGACTGGTGAACATTTGTACAATATCAACAAAACACATTTCTGCTGTATCAGCAACTCCACCTGACAGGAACACGTTGTTACTGTAGGAAATGTCAGAAAAGCTAGACAACACCAGAGCAGGCAGTAGTTGACCAAACTTTTACCAAACTGTAGCTCACCAGCTGACTGGGCCATGAGAGGGGAACTGGGCTGGTTATCAGTGGTTAGATGTTTGATTCCTGCCGTCAGAACAAACCAAAGAAAGGATATAAGTACAGCTTATCAAAACCATGAGAAAATGACAAGTTACTTCCAACATATTTAACCCCTAATAAATATTTTATACAAACATATAAGCCATGAATTGGATCAAAGAAAGTTTTTATTCCTAGTAGAATCTACAAGGCTCTGACAGTAAAAATGAAAGGGCGATTAATTTTAGTGACTTGACATTATATATTTAGCTCATGCATGAGCGTTCAAACGACGGCACACTTTTACTTCATTCACTGTATATTCGACTCCTGAGTAGCTCTAATTACAGTCATTAACGGAACAGAAACAGATGCGGAACCTGCTTCCCCTTTTTTAAGCAACACAGGACGGACTGGAGTGCGTACGTGATAAATTGAGGCACCTGAGTGTATCTGTTCGCTGTTCCTTCAACATCTGTCGCCGCAGCCGTGAGTTATGGGACAAATTACATTCGACTACAAATTAGCTCAGTTAAACGATACACCCTGGAGTTATGTCCATGTCCCGCGTTCCTTCGTCGTGTTTCACTTTATTTTCCTCTGTCACCGAGCCAGTTATTGATAGGGGCTGTTGTTGTTTGTATCCCTGCCAGTGTCCTGAAGTGTTGTTGTTGTTGCACAACGAGCAAAGTCCTAAATTAACTGATTTGTGAACACAGACACATTCAGCTCTTTGGAAAAATACCCCGATGTATTGTGTCCTATTTCGATCGGTCCTTCGCGGTCCCTTTAATGGTGATAATCAAAGTGATGGCCCTTCAGGGCCACTAGTACCTGCTGTTTCCTATTCTTCTATATATAAATGAACTCTTTAAATCACTGGCAAGACAAGATCAGACCAGAATATAACGTAAAAAACAATGAAGAGAAGGAGGAGACAAATTGGAATGGAAATAGTACAAAGAAGAAGAAGAAGAAGAAGAAGAAGAAGAAGAAGAAGAAGAAGAAGAAGAAGAAGAAGTATGTCAGGGTCACACTGAGGGGGTGAGGTGAAAGATGGGGAGGAGAGAGAGAGAGATCACAAAGAGGGCAGAAATCATCAAACTAATGAAAGTGATTTGTGCAGAAAAATGGGGGAAAAAAAGGAAAAAAGATCAAGAGAGCAGAACACTAGGTAGAGCTAGGTGGAGTAAAAGTATTTAGCGACTGAAGCATCATCACTGAAAAGAAAATGAAAATGAAAGGAATAAATGAAGAAAGTTCGCCTGCTGGAGGCAAAGACAAAGACAGAGCAAGAAGAAAGGATCATAAACGTCAGTGAAGAGAACAGGAGAACCTACAACATAAGTTGTGATGGAAGAAAGATGCGAGCATCACAGGATATGCAGCAGAGATAAAGACGACTGTAGATAAGAAGGAACGCGAGAGACTGAGCGACGAAGAAAGACGGAGAGGGTTCGTTCTGTTTGTTCTGATCCTGAGCCGCCGGGAGATGATAATAAGGGGGGGGGGGGCGGGGAGGCGACTCCCCGCTCCGTCTTTTAGACGGAAGGCCGTACACAAGTCATTTGGCTCTAATTACCTCTCACTTACCATCAGTGCTGCCACGGCCACTCATTTCCGCCATCAGTTCCCAGCCACGCCTGACATCCCGTCTCCCACTGGTCCTCAATAACCAAGCAGCAGCATGAGCCGAGGCTGCTGACAGGTGACCTGTTTGGTTCACATGTGTGTAGAACATTCATGAGGTTCTGTTGGTGTTTCGAAGAGTTGACTAATTTAGTGAAGGAGTAAATAATTTACCTCATGTAGTTGGCAGACTTTAGTCAGCACGGCCCTGTCACCTTCACCAGCCGTCAGCAGGGATAACAGTCGAGGCTGCTCTGCTGCTCTAGGTGGAAAGAAAGTTAGAGAAAAGGAAAAAAAGTCTGTGATACTGTAGAACAGTAGTTAACATTTCTGTGGGGCATATGGTTTCAAAATGTTTTTCTTCCATAAAATATGATGTTAATCTGAGAAATTCTGATCCCGTTTACAGGAAAAAACGAACCCATTCTGATCCCGTTTAGAGGAAAAAAACGAACAAATTCTGATCCCGTTTAGAGGAAAAAAAGGAACCCAAGTGACATTTGTGAGTGTGCGAATACATAATTTAAATCTATCTATCTATCATCCATCCATCCATCCATCCATCCATCCATCCATCCATCCATCTCATATCATGACCAGATGCCACAGAGATACAAACTGTCGTCACCTTGTTGTTTCACAGATGCCACAGAGATACAAACTGTCGCCATCTTGGGCTAAAAAGAAAAGTTTTCATTATCAGTTGACTTTCTTAACAAAACCCACTCTTCTCAGCTTCAAACACTGACACCTTCTGATTTATGAGGCTGACAACACAACATGACACACAGATAATCCCCACTGACCTGTTACCGGACGTGAAAAAACGCCTGTCTTTCCTCAAATTAAATACTTGTTTTGTGGACATTTTTATTGATTGGGCCAACGAAGTCTTGGACGTTGAGTAATTAAACAGAACGACGAGTGGGTGTAAAATTAGCCTTTGTGTCATTAAAGTGGAACGACGGAGCTGGTTCAAATAATGAGCGCGGCTCAGATGACTGATGACCAGAGAGAGAGTGAGGAAGAGATAAGAAGAATGGCCTCAGACGTGGCAGAGGAGCATACTGTATGGATTTGTGTTGGATAATGAACTTTTCAACTGCCATTGATCTACTTCAAAACAGACACTGGATCAAGGGTCCTTTACTTTGAAGGAGCTCAGGGGAATGACTGGATACTTTCTCCAGGATGTCAAGATGATCTTGTTAAGATTAAATTAGATGGACTTAACTCGGTAACTGGATTGTCGCTCTCTTGTTAAGATTAAATTAGATGGACTTTACTCGGTAACTGGATTGTGCATTTTTTTCTGCTCCAGCAAAAGGAAAAAAAATGTGGTCATATTTAGGAATGTTGTTTTATTTCAATTAATCATGATTAATCAACAGCTAACCTGTGAATCAATCAAATACAAATGTTTAATTGTTAATCATAATCATATCATCATAAAACCTCTGTAGCAGCACTGAGTTTCCTGTTAAACACATGAAAAAACATGTCATTCTCCGAGTTAAACATTTGAAAAAACATGTCATTCTCCGAGTTAAGAAGCGCTAACATTTCAGTAAATTCCCTGTTGAACAAAAGCAGCTCTCATAATAAAGAGGCCATGACATCAGGTCAGCCCATTGGCTAATCTGTGGAACCAATAGAACTCTGTGCACGGTCGTTAACCCTGGAAAGTTTGAATGAAATCAAGATTCGAATAAAAGGAAAAGAAAACCCCTTTTTCTCCTTTCAACTCGCGTTCTCTCTCCTTCGCTAAATTACTCCCAGTAATGCATGTGAAACCTTTATTGGACCTGACACATCATCTCCAGATTTATGGGCTGCAAATTGTTTCCAAAAGGATGAAAAATATGTGCTGTATGGAAATTAAACAGCAGATTTTGAATTTTGATTACCTGGTTTGACGGCGCAGACAAAGGAGATGGGGCCGTTTTGCGACTCGACCTTTGGATTAATACTTGCGACGATTCACATCTACCTGATTGCATACGAACAATTCATCAGCTCCGGATGTGCGTGATTTGATGTGCATTGCTGGTACAGTGTGTGTGTGTGTGTGTTTGAGACGGCCGTGCACAAACATCTGAAGTTCTGCTTGATCAAAGTGAGTCATAGAAGAGTTGCTGAAGATTTTTTTTTTTTGAAGTGCGGTGTCTGCATTCCTTCTTGGATTCACACTGGCTGAATTATTCAGCTCCACTGTAGAGTTTACCATCAAAGGCAGCAAACTGTACTACGCTGCCGTGGTCCTGGTACTGTGGTACCTGCTCGATAAGATAGAGCCTGGGTTCCACTGTTGGCTGATCACGAAGAACCACAAGCTGTTGTGAAGTGTTTTCACCTCACGTTGTTGTCAACTTTCATTTAACGGTCAAAACTTTTCAGATTTCTTTTTTTTTTTCTTTCAGAGGAGTTGTATTAGCTTATTTCACGCCTTCTTCAGATAAGGCACATTGACACACAAATAGGACTGGGTCAAAGGTGCTGCCTGACTTCCACACACCAGGAGTCAACTTCAATCTAACACACTTCTCCACACTCTGAGCTGCCGTCAGAGCGCCTTATCTAACACGATTTATCAGCAAAGCACCACATGTGGCTGGGAAATTACAGCCAGGCAGGAGTGAAAAATGTCACTGATCAATCTTTTAAAGTCGTCCGTCGACTGACTCCTGTGTGTCACTGCTCCAGCTTTGCCATCAGCGGATCACAATGGCCGTTGGGCTGGGACCCGGCAGCAAAATGTGCCTGACTTTGGGTGAAATGCCCTTTGTTGATTCTGGAAGTACGGATGGATGGGAAGCACATCAAATGTTACCATGGAAACAGGAAAAGCAGCGTGACATCTCAACAGTTTTGTTTCCTTGTTTCTTTCATAAACACATTTCTAATCAAAGGTGTTTCGCCCCGACACATCTGAGGCCCAGAATGTTGCTCCAGGTATTTTTAACTGTTGTTGTTTTCTACAATTGTGAATAAATGAACAGACAGGTGTTCAGCGCCCAGGCCCCCGAGGCATGCCAACAAAACCCCAGCAGCCAGGAGTACAACACCTAACTTGGGTTGTGAAAAATAAATGCGAGTGAAAACAGCAGAGGAGATCCACACACAGGTACTGTCACCTTTACCAGCCTCTTAATCCAAGTCCTTAAGTAAACTCAACAGCACCATCACCTCTGAGGTGAGTATTAATATTGCAGCTCCTTTGTTATTCATTATGAATGAGAACAAGTGTGAAGAACTCAGAAGAAAACCACAAAACACTTCACGACTGCTGCTGTTGATACCTGTCACAGATAATTCCAGCCACGTCCCTGCAACTGATGAGCACACGCTTGATTCCCATTTGTTTTTTTAAACAAATGTTCCTGTGGGCCTCCCAGTGGTGCTGTGATTTGTCTCTGCTACATTAAACCAAGGCCAGAAAACAAGACAACGCAAAAAACAACTGTCAAGATATCAAGATGTGTAAAATCCATAGAACTGATATTGTATTGTGGATTAAATTGTAAAAAAAAAAAAAAAAAAACCTTGAAAATGTATTACTCCTGCTGTGTTAACAGGTAATTTCCCCACAAACGTCATTATAAATGCTCTTAATGAATTAGCTGCGTCGGCCTCGTGAAAGACAGTGACATTTATGAAAAGAGAAAATAAAGCTACCGTGTTTGATGAAGCGGCAAATTAGTTTTATTTAATATATTTATTTAAAATAGAAAATAGGATTAAATAAGAAATGTGTAAATATGTGACTAAATGACAAGTTGTCGTCACCTTCGTCTCGTCCGTTCTGTTCTTCACCGTCTTTAATATAAAGCAAAAAAGAAGGACTTTCGGGGCCAGAAGAAAGTCTTATGAATGATTTACTCTTTCCATTAAAATGTCCTGTGACATCTGTGATGCCTGACCTGCTGCTGCTGCTGCTGCTGCTGGTGACTGTGCGGAGCAGCGAGGTGATGACACGGGTCCTGCTGCACTTGGCCTTTGTCGCTGTCAACTGTGCGTCCGACAACTTCGTTTAAGTGCTTCCTGATTTGGAACTGCCTGCAGAGGCTGCGTGGAACAGAAAGAGACGAGAAAAACTGTGAAGGAGGTGAAGCAAAGCCGTCGAGCCGTTACCCAACATGCATCACTTTGAAAGTCATTTGCATTTTTTTACTAAATATTTGGAGGGAAACTATATTTTTATCCTGTTTTGTCAAATGTCAGTTTATTCTCCATTTGCAACATTTTTCACTTTTTTTAAACACATCAACCCAGTGCTGGGATTTTCCACCATGTACATGTTGACCTCTTCACCCTGATGTACCGGAACAAAACAAAGCACTTTGCATTAAGGTGAATGACATCACCATTGTCACAGGTCACACTGTAGTGTTGTAGGAAACTGGTCTATTGAAATTCCTTAGACTGAAGCTGGACCAATATACAGTATATACAAGGCTGACCCAGGAAAGTCTGTAGAAGAACTTGAAAAAGTGAATTAGCAGCTCATACGCACTGCTCTTTCAAGTGAAACAGTTGAATCAGATTAGAATTTAAATGCACTACCGGCTGATACGAAGATGCTGGCTGAAAAAAAAAAAGAAAAGAAATATATATATATATATTGTATATATATATACTAATACATTTTTTCAAGTCATTATTATTCTTTTTTAAATTATAATATTTATAATATAAATTATAATATAATATTCTTTCACTTTCGTGACCATAGTCCAGTAACTATTCAAAATACCAGATCATCTCAACTAGAAATTCCTCATTTTGATTTTATACTGAATTAAGAAAACCATAAAAATAAATAAATAAATAAGATTAATAGTTAGAAATATACAGCTCATTCCAGAGATCATGCTATAGGTGACATTTGAAGTACAGTACAGTACAGTACAGTACAGTACAGTGCAGTACAGTACAGTACAGTACAGTGCAGTACATGTGCCAGCAGGAACAGTTGCTGTTTGGACAGTTTTTATTTGCCACATCTGTTGCACCACTGCAGCTTTATTTGACTCCAAGCAGAAACAGTTAAACAACAGTTGTTTGTCTAGTGGCCGCACTGAGACCTGGAGCATTCACACAGCCAGGCCACTGCAGACAACAGGTGTCTTTTAATACAGATTCACCTCTAAATTATTCACAGGGCCCTTCCACATTTAAAAGACACCTAATCTTATTCATTATTCAAGTGTTTTTTTTTCCACCACCACGGTGGGAGGCGCTGTCAATTATTCAACATTACAGAGCAAACCAAGAGGTTAATAGCTAACACCCAGCTGTAGGGGGGGGTGCAGCGGTTATACGCAGGTAGCGGTACGGAGGGGAGCGGAGAAGATTTATGATACGGGTCCGGCGGCGAGGTGAGTGACTGTGGCACCGAGGGAAATAGTGCTGTGA